GATGAAAAGAAATGGGCGTGGCTCAGCATAACTGCAGTTTCCCAGCAGGCTCCTGTTGTGCAGAACCTGAACACACAGATATCCAGCATCACATTAATAGACACATTACGAAGTAGAAGAAGAGCAGCATTGACGAGGCGTCAACAGATGACGAGCATGAGTGTTCTTAAACCGTGCCGTTGTTCACATGGACTTCATATGTTCATGTCATTCCATGCTTTAGTAGAAACAGTTTTTAAAGGCTGCTCGTGGCAAGTGTCCGTTTGTAGCAGACCTAGTCGAGCGACCACGTCCACAATTGGTTTAGGCATCAAAGTAGAAAGAGCTACGTTACTGACGCCATGAAAAACCTGAAAGTACAATTTAATACTGCTGTGTAAGACGTAGCTTTGAAAAGATGGAGCATTAGAAAAAGAAAGGTCTGCTGAGTCCAGCCGGGAAGTTTCTTGTGAATGTTCTCGGCCCCACTGTTCAGCCTAGTCAAGTCCGTTTCTTTGTCGTGGAATGACAAACCACCTCCTGCCTGTAGCCGGACTCCTCGTACTTTGTGATGCATCCCACCATTTTCTTCTTCACCACATGTGGTGGAATGAAATTATGTACACAACGTCCCAGTTACATCCAACAAAAATGTATAAAATGTAAAAGAAAAACTAAAGATCTAAGATATGAACTAAGAAAAATGTTACCTAAATAATACGCTAAACACTAGTAGCATAAAAACATTACGTCGAAACAGCAGCACGAACATGAACATGAGTGTGTGTGAACAGATGAGCACGAATAAACACAGCAACATGAAACGATCAGCAGCAACATGAAACGATCAGCAACATGAAACGATCAGCAGCAACATGAAAAAGATCAGCAGCAACATGATGTGATATTTCACAGTAATTATTCTGGTTAGAGATTCATGAGTCTAACAGCCTCGGGGTAGAAGCTGTTCCTCAGTCTAGTGGTTCTACACTTAATGCTCCTCAACCTCCTTCCTGAGGGGAGCGGGGCAAAAAGTGTGTGTGCTGGGTGAGTGTGGTCCTTCATGATGCAGGTGGTCCTCTTCCTGCATCTGGAGGTGTAGATGTCTGTGATGGTGGGGAGAC